TAATATAAATGTGTTGCTATAACTGTACATAACTATACTGGCGTAAGAACACGGGGGACGAAGGAGACAATAGCCCCCCCCCCCCCCCAACTAAAACATTAGGGAAGGGATTTAGCCTTACCTCCTCCCCCCCCCATTTTCTAAACTGTTTAAAAAAAACTTTTATAATAGCAACAATAATCATTTTCCAATCTGCAATGACTCAATCACAATAAAACCTCACCATGGAAAAGTAAATTCATAAAACTGTTTAAGATACTATCGCATACTAACTATTTTTTAAATGAATGTGTAGTGGCAAAAGATGACACGTTAAAAAGACGAGTAATTACGTTGCGTGTGATAAATAATTGAATGAATAGATCATTTTTATCTATTTTGCTGTAACGTATATAATTGACGAACTTTTTATTTTTTAACATATGTTTTCAGCCCTCCTCCCCCCCACCCAACTTTTGCGACCTTCCTACGCCACTGCATAACTATATATTTGATTGGAAACAAAAGGAGTTATCTACGCAAGCATTGAGCATTTTTTATTTTAACTCACTCTCAACAAGGTTGCAATCAAACACTATTAAGTTGGGAGTTGCAAGAAAACAAAGAGTTAATTTACAGAGCAAGGAAACGGTTGAAAAGTTAAAGGTTGATTGATTCAGGAAAACATGAAGAGGAAAGATTTTCAAAGGATTAAAGTGCGTGGAAAAAAGCTTTTCTCGGGTGCTTAATAAAAAATATTCAAGATTTAGGAGATTTTTTAAAGGTCATTAATTTTTAAAACCTTATTGCACTGAAAGTTATTATTCTTATTTGTGACTAATATATATTTTCTGATTTTTTTAGTTTTGAGCTGATGTTTTTTTGTTGATAACATTTACAAATTAATAAACGTGGGGGTGGGGGGGTGGGGGGTGGGGGTTAATAAGCTTGGGTTTGGATAAGGTTGGATTGAGAATTTCGTTTAATAATTTCTAAACCTTGTCTAGAATTTATAGATCTTAGCAAAGCCTTTGATACAGTAGATCATAGCATTCTTATAAAAAAACTCAAAAGTTATTGTATTAAAAGTACATATTTAGAATGGCTCAAAAGTTATCTAAACAATAGAAAACAATACATAGCACACGAAGAAAGAAAAACTGAATACTGATTTCCATAAGTTTTCAAACATTTTAAACTCAGTTTTATTTGCAAATGATACAAATTTATTTTATTCTAATGGAGATATCAACCTTTTATTTAAAAAAGTAAACAAGGAATTTTTAAATCTAGCGGAATGGTTTAAGGAAAACAAATTGTCCTTAAATTTAAATAAAACTAAGTATACTTTTTTTCATAGACTTCACGATAAAGAAAATATTCCATTAAAACTTCCTGATCTTTACATTGGCCACTCTAAAATAGTTAGAGAGTCATCATTAAAGTTTTTGGAGTGATACTTGACGAAAACATGACATGGAGAGAACACATTAGAACAATTGAAAATAAAACTTCGAAAAATATTTGCATACTATACAAAGCTAAGCAAATCTTAAACCAAAACTGCTTAAAAATCTTATATTTCTCTCTCATACATTGTTATATAAACTATGCAAATATTGCATGGTGCAGCTCTAATGTAAGTAAAGTTAAAAATTTGCTTAGTAGACAAAAACACGCTGTCAGGATTATTTCAAATGCAGGTCGATTCGCACATTTTAAAGAACTATTCAAAAATTATCACATACTCAATGTTCTTCAGTTAAACCTTTATCAAATTCTCATATTTATGTGCAAACTACATAATAAATTAACTCCTATAATTTTTAATACATTTTTCACTAAAATTAATCACGTGTACCCACAAGATTTTTAAATTACAATTACGAGCGACCTAAAATACACTCTTTGGCTATTAAATTTTCTATTGCCATCAGAGGTCCTAAATTATGGAACACTTTATTAAATAACTAGCTGAAAAATTGTTCTTCATTTTCTCTCTTTAAACAAAAACTCAAACAAAAACTTTTTAACGATGTTAATGAATTAAATTCTTTTTAAGATTCTTTTACCTTTATTTTTAACAACTATCTTATTAACTAGTCTAACCAATTTAAATTTTCTTTAAATTATCCTATTAACTTTTCTTCAGTTTTTAGGTGTGATTGCTTTTTTTTTTTTTTTTTTTTTACGATTTTCTTTTGATTATAAATTAGTAACTTATCTTAACATATTTCTATATATTTGTATATAATTTTTAAATGGACAAAATAATTTTATGTTTTATACTTACATTTTAATGGTTATACACGCTTGCTGATGAAAGCACGTCGGGGTGTAGTGATAAGGCAAATATTGTCTTCTTTTAGCCCCGGTCATGTAGATTTTATTTATATAACATGGCATTGTATTCTTTTTTTTTTAATGACAAATAAATAAATAAATAAAATGAAAATAGAAGAGAAAGAGCGTCATTAAAAAAATGATGAAGCATAGCATCCGACAGCATCTTTTTATATTTGTTTTTTGCAATAATAAAAAAGGGTTTATTCTTAAAAAAATTGTTCTTTTGAAAAAGACAAAGAAAAATGATTACAATTAGTTATAGCAGCTGCACAAGAAAGCAAAAATCCATGGAGTAGAATGAAGCTTGACTCGGAACGTAAGTAGTGAGATGAAAAAAATCCGAAGAAAAAGTAGGAGATAAAGATTTATAGAAATCATTGCTTGGAACCACCTAAAAAAAGCAAGGATAAACTAAACAAAAGTTAGGGCCAGAGACAACATAAATCAAGGAGTGAAGGTAGGTGATAAAAGTAGTCTGAAAACGAGTCACAAAGTGAGTAAGAGATTAAAAACATCGAAGTTACTGGCTTTAGTGCGAGATAAAGGTGATTAAGTAAAGTGGTGCTAAGCGCAAACACATAAAAGAATGGTCAAAGGATTCAAACATGATTTCTCGACAAATAGATAAATTGATACATTGATATACTCCCAAGCAAAACATGTAACTATTGAAGTATTTGCAAATCAAAGTATAATAGCCGTCAATGCTAATATCTGAAGAAAAAAAAGCCATTTTTAAATTAGTCTCACAAAGAGCAAACAAGTCTTGTGAATTTTGAAAATGGTAAGGTTCAACTTATAAAAAATTACTTCGAAGGTCACGAATATTTTTAAAAAATACATTGAAACAGTTAAGTAGTGGTAATGGTTTTTTATGCTTAATATTATCTGCCTAAGATGAGTATTTTCATCGAGATCTATCTCTAGCCTTCTAGAGACCCAAACCTTTGGACTTCAAAAACTTTTAATTGCCAGCATTGAATGGTGGTAGCTATAAAACTTTAAAGTCAGAGATCTGAGCTCTAAATATTATTTAATCATAATGATTTTTACTTCACATTATGTTCTTTTATTTTTTGCTATATTCTATGAGCTATCATTATATATATATATATATATATATATATATATATATATATATATATATATATATATATATATATATATATATATATATATATATATATATATATATATATATATATATATATATATATATATATATATATATATATATATAATATATATATATTATATATATATATATATATATATATATATATATATATATATATATATATATATATATATATATATATATATATATATATATATACTAATATCTCCACTCTCTAACTCAATTTCTTCTAACACAACCCCAGAACTTACAGACTCGCATAAAAAGGCTAAAAAATGGTCCTTTTATTCCAGGTTTGCTATATATCAATAATGCATTTTGTTAAAAGAGTTGTAATTGATATGAACTTTTTATTAAAAGAAATTATCTATTATATTTAACGAATGAAAGTTCGTTCTATGGGAATTTAAGTTGTTTCATTGGCATGTTTTGGATTACGAGTAATGTTTTACGCAACTTTTCTCAAAAAGCGAATGATTTTTTTTATTTTATTTATTGAAGCAAGGTTATTAAGCATCATTATTTTGATATTTTGGAATTATATGAATAAAACAAAAGATTAAAAAACTGATATGGAAGATGTTATTAACTGTAAACGAAGGAGTTTGCATTTTGTGAAAAATAAATTATCGAGATGCATTATTTGTCAGACAGATGATACTAAGAAAAAAGTCGGTATAGTCTTGTTGCAACTTTTCTATTTTATAAATTTAGAAATTTTAATTTTATCATGAGAATTGCTCCAATATTAATGACACAACATTAGTCAGATTTGCAATTGATTAATTGTAATAACATCTTCACACTTGGTGAAATCCATGTTGTATTTGCCTTTTTAAAAGTAATGGGCAAATATATAGAAGTTAGTGGACTTAACGCAGTTCATACAAAGCCAGGTATTTATGAATATACAACGTTACGTGAAATTGTTGACAGAAAGCATATAAAGCGATGCATGGAAGCGCGTATGAATATTTATCTTTCTTTTAGCAAATTTTATTTAAAAATTACGTTACAACAACATGCACAACTTATAAATGAAATTTGGATCGGAAATGCTAAACTTGCTAATGATATAACTGATACCGAATGCAATTTGAAAGTAATTTATGAAAATTGATTTTTTTTTTTTTTGTCAAAGATTACGGGGTTTTTACTATTTTTAGTGAATTTGATAAAAGTCATTCATAAAAATTACTTTTCCTGCGTAACTACATCATCATGTTTGAAGCTTTGCTACGCGGTGTAAAAGGTTTGACTCAAAATCCTTTTGGTTTGTAACGCTTTTGTCTTACTGCTCCAATACTAAATGCGTAGTCTAAAGATTTCTGCAATAAGAATAATATTATTTTTCTGTTGTACTAAAATCAATGAAATCAATGTTTATAGATGAAGGACAATCCCTGCCTTCCACAGAAAAATACAAAATACTACATGAGATAGAATCGTTATAAAAAAAAACCTTCAGTAGTACCTATCCACAATATGACAAGCAATACTCAGAGAGTTATTGACAAACTGTAAAAGGATCAGAAGAACGTGACATCAGTACCAAGAATTGTTTTGAGGCACCAATTCTAAACGTTTAAAAGCATTACTGGGTTTCCATGTGTAAATAACTGCTTCTATGGAAAATCAAAATTAACTTGGTTAAAGTAATTCATGGTTGCGGATGACAAGATTCATTATGCATTATCAGTGTTAGGCAATACTGAGACATTATCAGTGTTAGGCAATGCCGAATCAGATAACTCTTCAAGATATTGAGCGTTTTGTATTCAACACAAATGGATTAAAAAAAATGCGTAATAACATATTAGCCTTAGCTAAGCTAAGATGGTTTCTCTTCTCAAAGTATCATTAAGATGCTGCGCAGTTACCATCTACCATAAGCGCTCTAAAATAAAAAATATTTAGAACTTGTATGTCTAGTATTAAGAAGATCTCAGAAACCTTTACAAAATCTTCCTTCTCCTGAAGACTTTGGCGGAGAGATCAATGGTGAATCCCTTCATCCAATGTTAAAAGATTGTCTTCCTGCTTCATTGAGTTTAATTGAATTGAGTGTTTGTGAATGTTGTGGTAATTTTTGCCTGAATAGAGAAGGGGGGATATAGCTTTTTTATCTTTGACAAATATATAAAAGTGATGCCATCGTTGTATCCATGCCAATACAGTCTCGAGCTTTTTAAAAAATAAGAAATATAATTTTATCTTTTTAATAAAAAGCCTTTAAAATAATATTTATCAATATGATAAATCAAACAAATATAAACAAGTTTAAATTCCAGTAAAACAATCCTTCATGCATACATTCAATTGATAATTGTATTGAACATAAATTTAAATTGATAAAAATTCTATAAGTAAAACTCATCTGAATATATAACAAAATTAGAATAGAATTTTTTTTTTATTTTGCCTTTTTGTGCCGGTCTGTAAATTCTGGGTCTGTAATTTATAAACGCTGTAAGGTGTTATATCTTGGGAAGCAAACATTTTCAGCATATAGTTTTCACATTTTTTTTGTTCTACTTGACAAGCTCTTTCGGATAACATAGGTTTTTTAAATTTGCAATAACTTTTTGTTGTTTGACGTCATGGATCCCGGTCCAAAATATAAAAAATTTCGGTATCCATTTCTTTCTTTTTATTTTTAACCTAAAAAACAAGCTGAAAGCAAAAAATTGTTTCAAATACGTCGGTGCATACGACGTACAAAGTGACTCTCATTAATGCGAATTTTTTACTTTCAAGTTCATTTGTTAATTTTTAGATGTAAAGTTTTTTAAGAAACGGCGAAAACTGGTGCAAACCCGCTGAATCTTACTACTAGATAGGTACAATAAAAGTACACAGATGGAATGAGGGTTTTGGTTGGGCTAGGCATTAGTTATTATGTTTTACAAGTTTTTAAGGCATAACAATAGATGTCTGTAATGAATGAACACTGCACCTACTATACACTACCTCAATTCTTTATGTACTAAAGTCATATCTTTTTGGTATTCCCTGTTTCCTCTATGAAAAACAGATAAACTTTGGTTTAAAAGTAAGCTAAAAATTATTTGGTTTCATTTCCAATTTAAAAAGCCTCACCTCGCATGAATCTCATGCTTCATTACACAAATTCTAAAATTTTCATAAATTTTTGATTTTTTAAAGACCCAAGTTGATACAATTTTGAAGAAAAAAAAATTCATTGATATATCGGACTCTGCAATTAATTATGGCCATTAGTTTTTGGTTCAAAATTAAATACAAGTTTTTTAAATATACTTATGTAGTTTTTGTTTTGGAAAAAGCATTTATTAACAGTCTTTAAAAAATAAATATATACATTTTTTACCTATAAAGCATTTTTTTCTTTTTGAAGGTTGAGGGTAGAAAAAGGGGAGGAGAGAGATGTTGCGATCTGGATTTCAGAATTTTTACGAACATTGTACAAGTGCTATATACAACTATAACTGCGATAAATTGCTATATACAACCATAATTGCAATAAATTGCTATATACAACCATAATTGCATTATATAACCATTTTTATATATAAAAATAGCTCATATATCAACCATTTAAACTTTTAAATTAAAAAACATAAATAATATAGTAACTTTTACCATTACTTTATTCTTTTTAATTGTAAAATTAAAAAACTGAAATCTTAAATAAAATTACCTGCTAAATGTTGCTGAAACCTTGCTTGCTCATCAGGTTTTTTTGTTTGATTTAATATTATTGTTGATGTTGCTTGAATAAACGATTGTCTAATAATTGTTTCTATCTGCTTGCTTGAGTTTAAACGGGCAAACGTTTTGTCTATAATTGCAGAAGTGTGTCTCACATCACTAGTTGGCGTCATTAAAATAATTGCTGAAGACAAACTATTTTTTTTTTGCTTTTCATGATTAAATTGAACTGAATTAGAAATGTTAAGCGTAGTGCTTTTTATCGAGTTGTTATAAAGAACGCCATTGTTTATATCGGTAATAAAGTAAGATTGAGTAAAAATTGTCGGCATGATTGTAGAGTATGGTCGAATAAAAGGTGTCGACAAGATTGCAGAAGTTGCTAATGAAGTTGCTTGAAGCTTATTATTAGTTATTGGTTTACTAGAAAAAAATAGTATTGATTGGATTGATTGTAAATCATTCACTTCCGATGGCTGTATACCAACTTTCGAAGAAAGTATGTTTATTTCTAAAGGGTATATATCAACTTCTGAAGATTGTATTGGAGTTTCGAGTTTGTCTTTTGTAGAACTTTTATGCAGCTTGAGCATATGGTCACCATGGTCACTAGAGTAATAGTCCTCAAATGTCTCTTCTTTTTGTCCTAAACAAAATGAAAGAAAAAAGAATATATAGTAGATCAAAAGAGCCAACATAATCTAAATAAATTTGATTTGATTCACAGGAAAAAATATTAAATTTTGCGTTAATAGCACGAAGATTAAAAACTAACTATATGTAACTAATATCCCCCAACCCCCAGTTGTGGAGCTGTTATTGATGAACATGGGAAAAAATTTCACCAAGATATTTTTGTAATAGAACAAAGATATCAGGGTTGTTGGAAGGAGGCTATGCATGCAGATTACTGTTAGTTTGTGTGCAGGAACGCTCCAGAACTAGTCTACAAAAAGAAAGCAAAAAGATCACGATCTCGTGACAATGCTCCATACTCATCTTTATACCTACTAGCTTGATGATCGTGATTTTTTTGTTTAAAACTGTTAGAATATATCTGTTATAAAAAATACCAAATTGTCTTTAAATATTATTAGAATATGTAAATTATATGTCAAATTGCTTTGTTTCAAATTAACTGAAATAAAAAATTATTGCTATCGTATATCTCAGAAACTAGAGCTAATAAAAAATTTTCGTTGTCATTTTCTTTTTTCTCAGCCCAAAATTAATATAATTTGATTAAAATTGGTAAAGATTTAAAAAAATTATTTTGTTGCCTAGTGTTATTTTTGCTAAAAATACTTTTGTAATTAATCGAACTTTGAAAATCAAGATGAGACTTGCTACTGAGTCACTTAAAAAAAACAACAACAATTTTTTATTTTTTTTTATTTTTTAGTAACTTTTACACTTGTTAAATACAAAATAAAATTTATTTAAACTTGTTATTTTTTAGAGGCTTTTTATAAATTTTGTAATGCGTTTTTTTGGATAATTAGATCCCAAACCCTTTTTTCACAAAGTGTCACGTTTGCTGAGACTCATCTATAAATTACAAAATCACCAATAAAAAAAAAAAAAAAAATTTTTCTATTTATTTTATAGGTTGCAAAGAAAAAGATCACGGATCTTTAGCTTCTAAGGCAAGCACCACTGCGCAACAGCTGCTTATATAATTATAAGTGTTGTTATCGACTACAAATAAATTGACTAAAGGTCAACTTGTCGAAAGTAGAAATTAGTCGACTTTAAAAATTCGAATAGTCGATCTAATCGACTATGGTTTTTTTTTCTAATCTACTAAAAATCGATTTAGTCGGTTCCTAAAATCGTTATCTCTATCTATTCACTTTATTTAACTATATCAATAATTAATTTTTTATGACCAATTGTTAAAGATATAAATAAATTATTTTATAACGATAGAATAATTTGAGCCATGCGTAAGAATATTCTTCATAGCGTGTTTTTTAATATCACATTAACTCTTAGTTTACTGTATGTTGCACCTTTTCATGTTTTCTTTTCCTCATTATAGAAACTTGTTAATACTGTTTAAAACAAAATGTTAAATGTTAAATGTTAAAGAATTTTTATAAACCTGCAACCACAAATAATGTTTGATAGATCTGCCCTTTGCACCTTGCTACGCCACAAAATCTAAGTGTTGCCAATTTTTTGCTTTAATTATTGTGAAAAATGATATATAGATTTGGTATGATATATGAAAACTTTTTCTTTAAATTCAATTGAAACTCTATAAGTAGGGGAGAGTGTGGAGAAGTGGAACGCAGGAGAAGTTAGACACCCCTATAATTTTATTTCGCAGCAGTGCCTAATTACAGTTATTTAATGTAAACGTATATAAACATCATTTCTCCTCCCTGCGGGTGGCGAAAACCCCTTATTTTGAAAGTACCCCCAAAAAGTACTTTTGCTGACAGCCTAGTAACTCATGTATGTATTTATTTTCGACTATTGTTGCACCCTTTTTCTATTTTATAGGAAATGCACTTATTATCTAACATTTAGTAATTAAATTTATATTTTAGATTTAACTGTGTGGCTGTAATTTTAGTTTTATTTCGTCTCCCTTACATAGGGGTGAAGCGGGACAGAAAAAAAAGTCGCTGCTCTACTTCTTCTTAACAGTTTTGCGTTATTTTATTGCGGAAATTTATAGAACATTTTAGCTACGATTTTTAATAGTTTTCAAAATAAAAATATTGATACGTTTTATTGAAATATTTAGTTTTTGTTTTAGTTCTTATACAGTAGATTTAAAAGAAAATTTGTAAAGAGAGATCTTTATTAAAGATAAATTTGTAAAGAGAGATCTTTATTAAAGATAAATTTGTAAAGAGAGATCTTTATTAAAGATAAATTTGTAAAGAGAGATCTTTATTAAAGATAAATTTGTAAAGAGAGATCTTTATTAAAGATAAATTTGTAAAGAGAGATCTTTATTAAAGATAAATTTGTAAAGAGAGATCTTTATTAAAGATAAATTTGTAAAGAGAGATCTTTATTAAAGATAAATTTGTAAAGAGAGATCTTTATTAAAGATAAATTTGTAAAGAGAGATCTTTATTAAAGATAAATTTGTAAAGAGAGATCTTTATTAAAGATAAATTTGTAAAGAGAGATCTTTATTAAAGATAAATTTGTAAAGAGAGATCTTTATTAAAGATAAATTTGTAAAGAGAGATCTTTATTAAAGATAAATTTGTAAAGAGAGATCTTTATTAAAGATAAATTTGTAAAGAGAGATCTTTATTAAAGATAAATTTGTAAAGAGAGATCTTTATTAAAGATAAATTTGTAAAGAGAGATCTTTATTAAAGATAAATTTGTAAAGAGAGATCTTTATTAAAGATAAATTTGTAAAGAGAGATCTTTATTAAAGATAAATTTGTAAAGAGAGATCTTTATTAAAGATAAATTTGTAAAGAGAGATCTTTATTAAAGATAAATTTGTAAAGAGAGATTTTTATTAAAGATAAATTTGATTTGATTCATCATTATTGTTTGGAGCAAATTGAGAGGTCATTTTACATCAATAATTTAAAAGCATTTGGAATGCAAAAGGCATTTTTTTATTCCTAATTTCGTAATAGTCTGATATAAGATATAGTATTAACAGTAACCTGAATACCATTACAAATAAATATATTTTTTTAACAAACCTAATTTCTTTTAAATTTCAGGTCATGCCTAGAGTTTATAAAAGAAAAAGCGAAACTCTTCATGTTTCAGAAAACATTTTGAAAGTTGCTGTAGCTGAAGTGGAAAAAGGGATAAGCCTTAGAAAAGCAGCATATTCAGCTGGCATTTCTAATTCTGCACTTCATAGGTGTATTAAAAAAAAAGTGTCAATATTCAGTTGCTAATCTTCAACCAAACTATCAACATTCTATGATTTTCTCTGTTGCACAAGAATAAACACTGAGCACTTATCTAAAGACATGTTCTGATATGTTATATGGCCTTATACCAGTTCAAGTAAGAGCTCTAGCTTTTGAAATGGCTCAAGCAAACAAAATAAAATGTTCCATGCGTTGGATAGAACAAAAAAAGGCTGGTCGAGATTGGTTAACAGGATTTTTAGAAAGAAACCCAAAACTGTCTGTTTGAAAACCAGAGGCAACTTCAATTGCAAGAGCATCAGCGTTTAATCGGTATACTATTGATATTTTCTTTACAAATTACAAAAAGGTATAAAGAGTCTAAAGCAACATCATTTAAAATTTTTAATCTTGATGAGACAGAAAACTCCTCGTGTCATTGCATCAAGGGAACAAAACAAGTTGAGCAAATAACATCTAGAGAAAGAGGTGAATTAGTAACAGGATGGTTCATTGTCTCTGCAGCTGGTGTAGCAATACTCCCTCTTCTTGTTTTTCCAAGAAAATTATTTAGAAACCCACTAATGAGAGGAGCACCAGAATGTAATATTGGATTAACCAAAAAAAAAACATTAATCGATTGATTAATGTATTTTTCAAAGTCGACCAAAATCGACTAATATATTTTTGAACAAAAATAATTTAAATCAAATAAAAAAACAAAACAAAAAATAAATTCAAACAGTAAAGTTAAAAAAAAAAAAAAAAGCATTTTTTATGTCTTGGTTTAACAAAACACATTGTTCAGCTAAATCTGATTTAAGCCTATTTCGTCGTTCTTTAACAATTTCAACAGCGCTTGAAATAGCTCTTCTGAATCCCTTTGATAAAGCAGTTATACAAAAGCAGTTATACAAAAACAGTTAATACAAAAGCAGTTATACAAAAGAGCACCTTCGTTATCTTTGAGCTGCAGTTCATAGCTCAATTCAACAAATAAAGAATAAACTTTTTAAATACAAGTAATTTCTATTTTGTTTGATATAAATTTAAAAGTACGAAATTGAGGATCTAAATATGTTGCAGCGTACAACTTTTCAATTTTGAGAAAATCGTCACATTTTTTTTCTTTTAATTCTGATTTTATTTCTGAATTTAGTTCTGATGATAGTTTAGTTCTGTAGATAGAAATCTGATTTAGTCGACAGTCGTGTTATTTCAAAGTCGTAACAACACTAATAACAATGTTCTAAATTTTTCTTTTAATTTTGATGTTAGTTAAGTAATTTTAACTTGTGCAAATGTGTTGTGTTTAAACCAACGAAATGTGTTGTTTTTAAACAACGAAACATGTTGTGTTTAAACCAACGAAATGTGTTGTATTTAAACCAACGAAATAATGTTTTAATGATTCAAACGAATAATTCTAGTTAAAAAGTACATAATTGTTCTTAAATAATACAAATATTGAAGAACAATTGCAAAGTATATGGGGTTTTATAAACGCCTTGTGAAATATTTCAACAAGCAGATTGCCAATCTTTAATGCAAGGAAAAGCCAACAGAAAAAGAAGAAAATAAATCCCACCAGGCAAAGTAATTACGGTTGATAACATTGAAAATGGAAAAATATTAAAACATCAAACAAAAAATTCAAGAACTAATAAATCAAATACAAAAATTAGCTTTAAAGGATGTTCAATCTTTACTGTCAGAATCAGAAGATATTGAAAACAGTAAGAGCAGTAGCGGATTCAGCAAAGGGCGTGGGGGGGGGGGGGGCTTAGGCCTTCCCCCTCACTAAGCCGGTCAACTGACGCCACCTAAAATATAAGTTTCTCATTATAAAGTTCTGCGTTTATTTAAAATGGATATGAAAAAAATCCCGCCTTAAAATGACTTAAGGGACCCTTAAGGGACCCTTAACGGTTAAGGGATTCTTAAGGGCTAATTTTTAAACTCGGGAAAAAAAATATTTTACGGAATGATTTTGTAAATTTGCTGTTGAGAAAGCATGGTTTTAAAACTTCTTCGGAAACTCGCTTATAAGTGATCAAAATTAAGTCAAATATTTATAGTTATAATATGGTTACAATTTTAATATCTATAAACGAGTTTTAAATAATCCTAATCCAACAAAATATTTTTTAGTGTATAAATTATTGGCTTTATCATGACTTCAAGAAATGATAGAAGAAAACGTGAAAATGAAATGGATACTTTTATATCGAGATTGAAAGGTAAAATAATACAAATAAGCAGAAGTTTGTTGATCTTGACAATCATGTAAAGAAAATTATTATAGTATAGATGTAGAATTTTAAATTAACAAGTTTGAAATATTTTATGTTTTACATATTTGTTTTAGGAGAAACTGACAGCTACTTAACACAGTTTAAAACTGTAGCAGAAAATGAAAATGTTACAATTGGCGAAGACTATTTTAATGAAAATGTATCTTCTATTTTTGATGAGGCAACTGGATGTGATAATGAAGGTGATGAGGATGAAAACAATAAAAGTAATTTTTCTTTTCTTATTTTAAAAAAATCAAATTTGTTGTAAATTTTACACAGTAATTTTATCAAGTGCAGTTAGTGGACTAGCTGTTGACTGTTAAACTAATGACCATTAGCAATTTAAACGTTTTATACATTGCAACAATGATTAACAAGTTATCTTTTTTTCTTCAGGTGAAGTTCCATCAGAGGAGAATCATGAAAGCAACAACTTCTCATCCCTGCATACTAAATGGCGCTACTCGACTTTCTCCCCCCCCCTGTTTTTATGATTGATTTTTATAGAGTATATTATACTGATTCTAAATCATATAAAAACATAGGTCTGAAAACTTGAGGAAAGTACTCTAATTTGATGTTAAAGTATAAAAATCCACATTAAAAACGCTAATATTAGCCATCTTTGTCATACTCGGTTATAATAAAATTCTTTTTCAATAAAAACTTTGAAAAACCCTGGTTTCTATCGACGCTTCAATTTAAAACGCATTTTTTATTGATTTCCTGCCCCAACCAAACCCTGACCAAAATCATGTACATTTAATTGCGCCAATTCCTATTTGTCAGTAGATATGTACATTTATTTACGCCAATTCCTATTTGTCAGTCGATGTATGTATATTTAATCGCGCCAATTCCTATTTGTCAGTCGATACATGTACATTTAGTTGCGCCAATTCCTATTTGTCAGTCGATGCATGTACATTTAGTTGCGCCTATTCCTATATGTCAGTTGATGTATGTACATCATAAAATATAAAAACAACAATAAAAACCGGGTTGTTAGTTAAAAAATTAATTACCTAAATTTTAAAAACAGTGTTAAAATGTTTTTAAAAAGATGGTGAAATATTAGCGTTTTTTAATGTGGATTTTTATACTTTAACATCAGTTTAGAGTACTTTCCTCAAGTTTTCAGACCTATGTTTTTATATGATTTAGAATCAGTATAATATACTCTATAAAAATCAATCATAAAAACAGGGGGGGGGGGAGAAAGTCGAGTAGCGCCTACTAAATTGTTATACTTCTGCTTACTTTATAAACTCAGCAATAGTGCAATACTCTGTTTGCTTACCATTTTAAACGAGGAAGGAGTCGATGTTCCTGCTTCAGTTTATCTTTTTAAAAAACCTCAAGTTGCAAAGAAGGTCCAGGTGTTAAAGAATACTCTAGATTGCGGTGGAAATTTTGGTTACTTATCAATTTTTGAAAATCTATTTTACTGTATTAAAAATAGTCTAGTGGTATTCAAAACGCAATACGTAGATCTTAAAATTAAAATTGGAATTGATGGTATTCCAATATTCAAAAGCTCACCGGTACATATCTGGCCAATTTTATTCATTATGAGAAATGTAGGTTTTAATAAACCTCTTCCTATTGCTGTTTATTCTGGTTTATGCAAGCCAAATTTTTCTGGTTTTATTGAACAATTATACAAAGAGTTAGTTTTGTTTAAATCTTATGTTAATGTATCTGGATTTTTTATTAAAATAACCAATGTTTTATTTATATGTGATGCTCCAGCGAGATCATTCTGTCAGTGTGTGAAAAGTCACTCAGGGTATAATGCCTGTCCATACTGTAGGATTCCAGGTGTGTATGCTACAAATAAAGTAATATTTCCGTTTGGTTTTATATATCCTTCTCGTACTGACTCTAATTATAAATCACTATCGGAATCGAACCAATTATTCTTATCTCCATTAGCTGAAGTTGCAAATTTAAGTTGTGATTTTCCTCCTGAATATATGCACACTGTTTGTCTAGGTGTTATGAGAAGACTTATAATGTCATATTTTTCACACAAATATGGCCGGTTAAACTGTCGGGTCAGTGAGAATCTAAAAGAACTGCTAGAACAAAGAGTTAAATTGTGGCATGGAGCTTTGCCATCTGAATTTCATAGGAAAATAAGGTCTTTTGGAAATATTAATTATTTTAAAGCCACAGAATTTTGAACAATTTTACTGTATACAGGCCCTCTTCTTTTTAAAGGTATCATTCCTTTAAACTACTATAATCATTTTTTGTATTTACATTTTGCTATGTATGTGTTTATTGGAACATCACACAAACATTATTATGACAATGCTACTTCTTGTATACAACATTTTCTCAATGGTTTAAAGGAACTTTTTAGTGAAAGTGCTTATACCTTCAATGCTATCGCATTCACCAGAATTTGTGCAGCAGCTAGGACCTTTAGATGAGTTTTCTGCTTTTCCTTTTGAAAATTATTTGTATTTAATAAAACAGCGTGTAAAAACTGGAACCTATGTATTTGAACAGTCCATTAACTCTGTTTTAACTATTCGAAGTTTATATTCCGATCCACCAAAAAGGAGTTTTGTTTTCTCCGATAAATATCCCAATAATACTGCTCTTGTTGTATATCAATCAAATATTGTTCCAATTATTATAACTTCTATTAGCGACAACCATATTGCTTCTGGATCCTTATTATTATTTAAATCCGATTTATATTTTCATCCTTATCCTTCCAGTTCAATTAGTATAGGTAGGTATATACAGTCTAATATCAATGTAACAGATGTGAAGATCATTAATAAATGTATTTCTTTTCTTGATGGCAATGAGTACATTGTTATACCATTTGCAAATAATGTTTTAAAGGATTGACAATCAATGAATTTTAATGTCATAGTTGATTTTATGATGTAAACTTTTAAATATAATAGTATTTAAATTATTTTATTTTTTTGTTTTACACATTGATTTTTATAAGAAACTAAACCAATTTACTTGTAGTTATGTTTTATCTTCAAGATACATTTATTTAAATATATATATATATATATATATATATATATATATATATATATATATATATATATATATATATATATATATATATATATATATATATATATATATATATATATATATATATATATATATATATATATATATATATATATGTAAGTGTATATATGTGAATATTAAAGATAATATCTTTATTATCATGTATAATACTGTATATTTAAAAAAAATGTTCAATAGGTACATTAGAGCTATATAGGATATATTACTGTTACACCCAGTACCAGGAATCAGCTAAATTTAGCTATTTCATTTAACCTATTTTTCAAAATTTAGAACAATTATTTAAATGTCATCTACAATAGAGTATGTGTGTCTTTTTATTCAGCCTCTTCACACAGCTTCTGAAGATTCAAATTTTGATACAGATCCTTCTGATTTTATCGTAATATTTTATTTAATGCAGGTTTTGAAACAGAAATTAATTTTAACCACTTAAAACTCAAAAATTTCCTGTTTCATACAAGGTAGTTTTTTTTAATCTAGCTTCTTAGCACAGCTTCTGGAGATTCAAATTTTGATACAGATTCTTCTGAGTCAATCAGAATATTTTAAATAATACAGATTAGACAATTTAGTTAATACTCTTTTATCTATAAAAATATTTTAATTTTTTAGGCATTACATAATCAGGATATGGCTACTGAAGCAGTTGCTTTAAAGCCTCTGCCACCACTTAAAACTCAAAAATCTCCTGTTTCATACAAGGTAATTGTTGTTTTTATTCAGCTTCTTAACACAGCTTCTGGAGATTCAAATTTTGAAACATATTCTTTTGAGTCAATCAGAATATTTTAAATGCAGATTAAACAGTTTAATTAATACTCATTTATCTATAGAAATATTTTAATTTTTTAGGCACTGCATAATCAAGATATGGCTACTGAAGCAGTTGCTTCAAAGCCTCTGCCATCACTTAAATCTCAAAAACTTTCTGGTTTACATAAGGTAATTTTTAATTGTCCACAAAATGTCCACATTTTGTATTTTTTATGTTTATTATCAATAAATATTCAACATTTAATGGGCGTGTGTCCATTAGTCAAAAGATTATAAAAATTTAGAAAATGTTTAAATAATTAGTCGAACTTTCTGGCAGGAAGTCTGCCAGAAAGTAAAATGTAAAATTCTGCTTTCTTGAAAACACAAAAAATTGAGATACGGTTCTTGACTGACAATGCGTTATTTATAAGAATATCATTAATTGTATATAAAGTAATTTATTAACACAAAGTTCAGCAATGTTTCTTCAAAATGATCGATTTTTAATAGCATGCTTCGTGTATTTTGAATTTTTTTATTATTGATTTTATTGTTTTTGTCTTTCTTTTTGATAAATAAGTTATGAGACACTTCTTATTTTATCTGATTTATTAATGTTGATATTTTATTTTTGGAAGGTTCCAAGCGTACAACTACCTTTATCTATCCAACCAATTGTAAGTTTTTAAACATTTTGATCTAGTTGTATTTAAATCAAAATAAATTTAATTCTGGAATGTCTTTTAATTTCTTATAGGTTTCAAATGTTACACGAACAGATATTCAGTCAATTGTATGCTGTTAACTATTAATTGTTCATATATAAAAATTATTTTGAAGACATGTATATATATATATATATATATATATATATATATATATATATATATATATATATATATATATATATATATATATATATATATATATATCAGGCCTTGCGATAAAGCGTTGGGCGATGTGAATTTTACGTCGTCCAGGAGCGATTTTGCGTGTAGCTAGGGCTATTTGCGTCGAGCAAAAAATTTTTTGTTTGAGTATATTTAAAGATATTTTGAGCGGAATTTTAATGAAGTAATTTACGATTCTTTTAACATTTAATAAAGTATTTTAAAAACCGCACGCAGTTGATATAAAAGTTTGAATTGAAAAAAATTAAATATGCTCATTATTTACAAGCAGAAAAAATTCAGATTAAAAACAAAGTTTAAATCTTTTAACCTAACATTTTAATAAAATTATTCAGAAACAGCAAAGTTAATGATAAAATTGAACAAAAATACTTTCTTTTAGTTTTAGATTTTAAAATTAAATAATTATTTTACGGGGAATTATTAGGTTTTAAAATTATTCCATAGATTTAAAAATATTTATTAACTGTTAGACGTATTTAAAGTATTTAAGAGTAATTTCGAGAAAACATTTTAAAAATTGGTGAGCGCAAATAAAAATAAATAAAAGGATTAATATTAAAATGTATTCTACTTGATTCAATAAAAAAGTACAGTTATTAAAATTTTTGCAAAAAGTAACTCAAAAAATTTACTTAAATAATAACAATCGCTTTTAAGTTAAAAGTTACCGAAACTCAACGAAGTGTGCTCAAGAACAGCTGCTGAAAAATAGAACCTCAATAGTTTTTCGAATAATTTTTTAGAATAATTTTTTCGCTGAAATATTTCTTTTATACCTATAAGATTTTTATTCTAACATTTTATTTTATTTTACTAGAAATAAAATTCCTTGTTAACATTAAAAATCTATTCAAAACGTTCGTTTAAGTTTTTTATTAATACAAGTGATTGTGCTTATCAACCGCCTTATGAAAATAAATAAATATTATATAAAAAATATTAGCTATTGCACAGTTTTTAATCGTACAATATTAAAATTTCCAGTTTATTACTCGCTGACTTTTTAAAAAGAAAAAACAATTATTTGAAAAACTTTAAATTAGATATTTGAGAAAAAAAAAAAATCAATTATATTTTATAATCTTTTTTAAATTTTAGTTATAATGTTTTTTATTCGTTAAGTATAGACAAAACGTGTCAAACGTCGAGAGAATAAGCAAATGTTTTTACATTTTAAAAAATGAAACATTTCAAAACATTTTTAAATAATAACATTTCTACATTAATGATTTAAAGTAGTTTTGCGGTAATTATGTAAATTGGTGCTGTTAATGTCGAAAAATATGAAAAGCAAATAAAAAGAATTTAATGACGTCAAATATCACGTCGTGCTTATGCGTCGTGCAGTTTTTATTCATCACAAGGCCTGATATATATATATATATATATATATATATATATATATATATATATATATATATATATATATATATATATATATATTGAAAATATATTGGAAATATATTGGAACTTTAGTCAAGTCCTCATTATTTCTCTGACACAAGTTTATTGCGGATGCACGATAGTATGCTAGATGTTTGTAGCCGTCTTAATGTTGAGCCATTTAGTGCACAAGGTTTAAAATTTGTATTTTGTAATTTTTGTAATTTTTTGATTTTGAAATAAGTGGCAGAAATATTATGTATCTTTATTGTGGTTATCATAACAGGACAGTTTCCTATGAATGCATACATTCTACGTGAATTGACATCAATTCAGTCTAAGTTAAATAATCTGGAACAAAGACAGGGAAGATTAGAGGCACGTGTTTGCAGTGTTCCTATTGATCAGAATACCTCAAATATCCAATTTCCTGTTTTTACCTCTCCGATGCAATATTCTGAAGTTGCTAAGCACCCAAAGGATATGGTAAGTTATGCGAGTATACCCATGTTATTTTGGATTGCCGAGAAGTACATCTCTTAAAAAAGATTTTAATATGAATGAGATATTACATTTTTGTTGTTACCTGATTATTTTTAGTTGTCATGGATGAAGCTTGAAGGAGGTATGACTGTCAATGACCATATTTCTCGCGTCTTAAATAAATTGCTGACGCATGACTTGCAACGTAATATAAACAGGACCGGAAGTCATGGCAAGCTTAAGTTTTTTGATAACCTGGAAAATCTGCTCAAAAGTAAGTTTAGTTCAGATCTACTGTAAACATTTTTGTATAAATAGGAGTCTGCGAGTCAACATTTTGACTCATAGTGTTTGATTTAAAGACAACAAAAAGTTTGATTTAAAGACACAAAAAATTAGTCTCTTGGTAAAATACTTTTATAGATGTTAACAATTGATAAACTGTTGTGATAATAAGTTTTACTTATTATAACTAATTTACTTGTGTACTTATTTCATAAAAATTATTTATATGTTAATTATTTATTTAGTTATAACAATTATATTATATACAATATGATTCTATAAAACAATCTGTTTTACGTGTGAATCCGTATGAATTAACTATATTGTTTGAACTTATGATTATATATTCAAATTAATTAATATTAAGTGATTGTTTTGTTATATTTATAGCGTCAACTATTCATTTTTTCCCCGGTACCACGACAAAAGAAATTGAATTAAAAGTGGCTCGATTTTTTAACAACGCCAGAGATCGCTCTGGTGGTCGAATGCAGAGAAGTTTAAAAAAGACCGATGTTTCAATCGAGGAAGACAAAGATGACGTTAGTAACGAGGGTAGTGAAGAGGGCAGTGATAACGAGACACAACAAAAAAAACGAAAAACTTTTAAATAAATATTAGTATTGTGTTTTAAGTAAATCTTTATATGGATACTTTTATTGTAAGTTTTAATACCTAAAATAAATAATATGAATAAATAGCTATAAAAATTCATAAAAAGAAGTTTTTATTGAATCACTTATTAATAAACTCTTTTAAAAATGTCAATCTTTATAAAATTATAATAATTTAACTATATAAATTATGTTAATGCTTAATATATTTAAAAAAAAAAAAAAATTTAAAAAACAACCACGCTTTATTACTCATATTTTGAGTAGAAATTAAGGGACCCTTAAATTCCGCGCGGACATTTTCGTCAGGGTCCCTTAAGGGACCCTTAAGTTTTTTTAAGGCGGGATAGGTAATAACAAACCATCGTTTAATTACAAATTTGGTCGCATTTATGACAGAAAATTAAAAAGAGACGTTTTGTTTAAAGAAGATATCTCTTATAATCATAATGTACACACTCAATAGATTTTTAGTATAGTTTGTAACTTTGGTTCATCAAAACTACTGTGACTGTACAATAACAGATGTTCATTAAACTACAATGACTTGAAAAAAAAAAATTATAAATTAACGGAATTCAACATTGTGGGGTAATTTAGATTTTCTTTCATGTGTTCGGCAAAAACCTGTATGGTACCCCCTCTCTAATTGAAAACTACTAGCGCCGACCCTACTTTCAAAGTGTATGGATAATTGTGCGGCCGTAAAAGTAAAATTAGCAAACTGAATTACAAGTGCGATTCTCGAAAAAAATGTTACTATGAGTTAATGTGTCAAGTTTAAAAGAATTCAATGACCGCATCAAGGTTCTGCAGACCGATAAAAGAAATTTACGAAGATCTTTGTTTATTACATTAGAAATAAGACCAAGAGTAGAAATCATTTACAAAAATTGTAATATTTTAATTTTGCCAACCATTAACCATAGTTTTGTCAATATCAACTGTTCATACCTTTTAGCCAATTTGGCCATCTGTTTATACCTTTTTGACCAATTTTAATTTGAGATTTATTTTTTTATGAAGTAATACAACAAAGGCAGACATTTTATTTAGGCATAAACTACTAACTACTACTGTCACCATACATGCTCTAAAATTTTGCTATCATGTCCAATCTACTCTAACGCTCCTGTCAGGGTTATTATAATAATATCCTTACCATCTGATAACTACTTAAAAAACGAATAACTCTACACCAGCTCTGTGACATACATCTGAGAAATACTTAAAAAACGATTAATTCTACTTCAGCTCTCTTTCATACACCATCTGACAACTACTTAAAAAACGATTAATTCTATTTCAGCTCTCTTTCATACACCATCTGACAACTACTTAAAAAACGAAAAGTTTTGATCAAGTTCTGTTACATACATCATCAGATGTCTACTTAAAAAACAAATAACTCTACTCCAACTCTGCTACATACATCATCTGATAACTTAAGACACAAGTAACTATGAATATTATTAAGCAAAAAACAAGCCATGATTTTCATAAAACGAATAACTCTACTCCATTTTAAATATTTCTCGTAACATCACAGTCACGTGACTTATGCACTGTGATTCTTTTTACTTACACAAAATACCAAACACTTTTTCAAAACCTCATATTAACCGGTTAAACTACAAAACTCCATATGATTGTTATGTATTAGTGGTAATTTTTATATAGATAATTAGTTTAAAAGATTTACATATTAGTTTTTGTTGTTACATTAATGTAATTCTAGTTTAACATTTTAGATCATCTAGTTATAACAGGTAATTTATTCTCCAGAAACACGTCATAGGACTACTGCAAATCACGCCTAGCTAACGTTACACCAACTTAAAGGACCTTTAACTATTTTTTATACTGATAACTCTTACTATTGAGGCATGCTACTACAATAGTTAGACACGTAAACCACATTATCTATTGACATTACACATACCTAAATGAACTCAAAACAATTCACAACTCTCATTGACCCATGCTACACTTTGAAAAATCACTGCACTTAATAGGCACTCATGTCAAAAAAACTACTTACTACTGTTTGCAAGTTGTACTGAACCCCACTAAGTGTCCTCTGGTCCCAGTGTCAATTCAGGAGTCTGTGGCAATCGTCCTGACTGGATACTCTGAGAATATTCATTTTGGGATAACACAATGGGATACCTTTAAAAAGATACCCTGGTGTAAACCCAGAGTGGAACTTCTTTGGGATACCAGTTTCGGATGAAAGCTGGAGGTCTTTATGCGTTCACACTGCACCATAAGGCACGAATCCATACTGTACTCGAGACGTTCATGACACTTATATCTATAATGTATGTTTATCATCCTAATAATACATACCACATGGTGACTACTTATAAAACGAATAATTCTACTCTATTACCAATTCTATCTACAAATTACATTCACGCTAGACACTATTAATAATTTTGTAGCACAACAACTATGACTTTCCTTGACTGTTGTTTATTATTCTATTTTATTTTTTACTACACTTTACTTATCAGTTTTTAATATTTTTCCACTTTGAGGCTCTTGGTTTTCCTCTGGACATCTGTCCTTTTGTACTTTTACCTCACTCTGCTAAACTCTTTTTAACTTATCATTCATCCCTAAGGCGTACACTGCTCGGTGCAGTCTCACTAAAATGCATTGCATTTACAAAAAGTATATATATGTATATAGGCACAGATGCCCGTAAGACGTCTGCACACTGTCTTACAGACGTCAAAAGTCCTTAAGACGTCTTTTACACATCCAACGAACACTTTGTGCCAACCGGGCTTTAATCAATTTAAACCTTAATTTTAAGTCTTAAAGAGTCTCTTTTGGATAGATTTTTGGATAGATTTTTACTACAACTTATACTTTTGGATAGATTTTTACTACAACTTATACTACTTTTTAGCCGACTTATATTTATATGTTTTATTTATAAAACTTATATGCTGCATTTAAAATACCTACATGTTTTATTTATAAAACTTATATGTTGTATTTAAAAGACTTATAAAGAACAATTATATCTGGTGTTTTTAAATAAAAATTATCAATTAAAATATTATAACCTGTCGGTATTTCAAGTTTGGCGGCTGTATTCATACTTAATAAGCTTGATGTAGACGTAATGCCATCAAATGTGCCAAAAATCTTTCTGGATAAGACATTTTTGCTATTTTGCTCTTGATCAGCAGTTACTTTGACATCCAGTTTATTTTTAGTTTTTTTCGCAGTATTTGGCAAAATAGTTTTTTTATTTTTAGATAACCTTTTAAAATGGTGTTTTCTCAAAACTTCAAGTGGTTTTTTATTAAAGGAAACATGTAAAAATGTCTCGTTTATAGTGTTGTTGGCTAGGGTGACATTTCTATAGGTGCTATTGGGTAAGATAAAGTTAGCAGATATCTTGGTAAGTAACGTAAAGTTTTTTTGAGTGCTATAAGGCAGTGTAATGTTTGTAGTGGTACTGCTGGGTACGGTCAAGTTTGTAGGGGTGCAATTCATAAAATAAATATCATACTTTTTTCGAAGACAAACCAGATAAACCTTTTCCTCGTTTTCATTATTTAAGTTAAGTTGTGGCAAGCTTTTATGATAAAATTTTTTACTGTCAACTAAAAAAAAATTGAAACAATGTGTTAATAAATTTTTTCCTCTTCTGTTTTCACCATTCATAACATATTTATATATATATTTCAAATAAATAATAACATTATTGTTATACATTTTTTTTAATCAATATATATATATATATGTATATATATATATATATATATATATATATATATATATATATATATATATATATATATATATATATATATATATATATATATATATATATATATATATATATATATATATATATATATACTATATATAAATTATAGATAAATTAAAATTTTTGATAAAACATACATTGTTAATACTAAATAAAACATACATTGCCAAACAAAACAAAGACCAAATATGAAATGTATATGTTGAATTTTCATTTTTAAAAACGAGTTTTGTTACTTGATTATTATGCATACTTTCCTGCAACAAATCTTTCTGCATAAAAAAATTGGCATTTTTTTACCATGGTAACTGATAAGAAGAAACATTAAAAATAAATCTGATAACATAGTTAAGATATTTCAACATTATTTATGGGTATTGCTATTTTATTTTTTCAAAAAACTTTTTCTTTACATTCTTTTAATTGAATAAAATGATCTAAAGATACCAAAATTAGAACGTAGTTTCAAGCTTAATAATAATGAAGATTTTTCGGTAATTTTGTAGCAAGTAAGTATTTTATGCATGTCACTTTACTTCGTCTATATGTTAGTTTATACGAATTTAAAAAATATCACATGTCTATTTTATATTGGTTTTTGTATAAGATATGAGAAAAAGATCATTTTGTTACCAGTTTTACAAACATAAGATTTATTGCAACTACAAGTTGCAGAAATTCTTAATATTGCATTTGTCGTTGTTTACAAAAACAAACAAACAAGGTTTCTGAAAGAAGCCTTGTTTGTTTGTTTTTGTAAACGATGAAAAAATCATCAGAACCTTTTCAGGTTTAAAACTTTTTTACATCAATACATAAACAAAAATAAAAAATTACAATAAATTGTATTGTAAATTGAAAATATAAACCAAACTACTAATGTTATATATCAGGGCTGTAAAGTCGGAGTTGCGGAGTTGCGACATTTTTAGTGGAGTCGGAGTTAGAGTCGCTAAACAAAATTGCGCCTCCGACTCCAAAAGAAAAACTTCTCGGTATTGCACGTACATGTACAAAATATTCAATTAACCTTATATTCATACTAAACCTCAAAGAACTTTTCATAAATTTCTCCAAAAAAAAAAACATTTGTAACTTATCGCGTAACATTTTTAAAAAAATTCAAAGAATTTTTTCAAAAATTTTTCTTTGGAGTCGAAGTAGGAATCGGAATTTGGAGTCGAAGTAGGAATCGTTTTCAAAAAATTTCAACAACTTGAGTCGGTACTTTTTTTTTACGACTTCTTACCTCTGTTATATATAATAAAAGAGTTGGATCTTATCGTTAGAACTTATAAAAGCGCAAACATATATACCATATATAAATATATATACAAAGTAAATACAGTAAGGCATCTCTTTACCATAGGAAAGAGAAAGTAAAACAGTCTTACAATTAAAGTGAAAAATACGTGGTTGTTATAAAAATAATTAAAAAGTTGTTATTTAAATATATTATTAATAGATAAAATAAGTTTATTTTTAAAGATCAGAAAAGTAATGGATATATCAAAATTAGGTATAACAACTTTATTCCAAATATATGGTGCTCGAAATTAATGCGAAGTTTGTTAAACGTTGTTCTGCAAATTGGTTCATATACAAAAATTTTATTTCTAAGTAAATATTTATTAATTGGGTTTAGAGAAAAAAGGTCTTTAATAATAGGTAAAGTTAAATCGTTTTTCCACATGTAAATAAAGCATAAAATGTTATAAATATTGAGCTCATAAATATTAAGTATTTTCATTATTTATATCTCCATAAATAATGGTTTGGAATGACGAGAACGATCCACAAAATTATTCAAGAGGATTGCATGTTTCTGAAGGCAATAAAAATATTGTAACTTACTTTTTTCTTCCCCAAGCTATGTTGAAATAATTTGGGAAACATGTTGCTCATTAAGTTTGAGGCTTTATCTAAATCATTTATATAGATTAAGAACAAAAGTGGCCCTAAGATTGAACCTTGAGGAAAACCACAGTAAATATTCAAAAGATGACTTTGGTTATATTTATTAACAAAAACAAATTGTTTTCAATTTGATAAGTAAATTCGAAGCCATTTTATATTTATATAGTTTGTTCCGTAACATTTTAGTTTTTCGAGCAGGGTTTTATGGTCAATAGTGTCGAAAGCCTTTGAGACGTCAATAAAAACACCTTATGAAATTTGGATCTTTGAAAGGAGTTTGAGATTTTTTGTACAAAATAGATGATTGTATGCTCGTACAAATCGGACAATTGCAAAAGATAATTCTGGATATATTTCTTTGGAACGATTGCAATCATCGATTGGTACTAAGAAATCAATAAAGGTGGCTGGGGTAAAGGGAAACTTATAAGCTAATTTAGGGCCGATTTCAATAAAGTATTTATTAAATTCTTCAGGTATAACTTTTGATTTATAAATACATTTGCTATCAACTATAATCATCAAGGAGAGCGAACCTGAGTATGTTTTTTGATTGCCAGTAATTTTATTACTTGCCAAGTGCGCTTAGTGTTAATTTTAAATTTGTCTATTAAACCTGGTTTGAAAATAGCCAATCGAAGTCAATTCATGACGGAAAATGAAATAATTTTGGTGTATCAATTCAAATATTTTTTATCAATAAAATATTTAAATGATGCAATCGTTGTAGAGGTTAAACTCTAATAAATTCGTCGTATAATTTTAAACTCTTATAAATTTGAATAAAAAAATATACAATGCTTATATTGATAAAGATAGCATTAGATTAGATTAAAATATTTTAGAACAGTGATACATGTTCTAAAAGACTCACACGTCCGTAAAATTTGAAGGACTCTGACAACGTGCCCTACAATACACGAACAATGCATAGACAATATTTGAAAATTGTAATTTAAGTAAGAATCCATGGTCACACCAAGATCTTTTGGGTTTGTAGTCCAGGTTAAATTCTATCTAGATCTCCTATTGATAGTTGTAAATTATATCTTTACAAAATAAAGTAGGTGTTATTCTATGAGTAAAACAATTATTATAAACCAGAGATAAACTTTATAATTGACAACAGCAAAATTGTGGTTGTAATTGGCATCCTTAAATAAAATATATTGCTTGATATCGTCAGCATATAACATTAGAGAGTAATTAAGATCTTTTACTTTAGAGGGTAGATCATTAATATATAACAAGAATAACGTTGGGCCTAAAACATTAACATATAATATATTCACTAAAAAAGGTATTTGTTTTTTACGCAAATTTCCGTTATCTACCGATTTTTTTGTTTTAAAATGGACGATAATTTAGAAACTAAATATTGTGATGAAACTGTCACTATTTGTGATAGCGACTCAGTCAGTAAATTAAAAATCATTAGAATGATCTAAAATCATTAGAAAGCAAATACTATTCAATTTCTGATTCTAAAGTTTATCTTCAACAAAATAAAAATACATTTTCAATTTTAAATATTAATATTTGAAGCATAAATAAAAATTTTGAAAGTTTTAAACTTTTAACGCATGAATTAAGTTACAATTTCAAAATAAATTGTCTAACAGAGATCTGTAAATATGACGAACTTAATTTAATTATTCTGAACTAATAGAAAATACGTGTCTGCTATTCAATAACAATATTCAGTTGCCTTTTAGGCTTCAGTTTTTTTAACTTTAAATAACGTAAATACATTTGCGTTTTGTTTTGCAATTTCTCGAAAGTACCACATAAGACTCCTTTTCTATCTTTTATAATCATTTGCGTTTTTAAACGTGATGAATTAGGAAAAAAATAGTTGCAAAGACAGTATTGTTTAGTTGATTTTTTTAATTACAATGTTACCATCTTTACTTTTTTGCCCTACATCAAATTTATTTTCAAACCAGGCCTCTGATATGACAGTGATATAGACTGATATAGACGGTGTCACGTTAAATAAGTAGATCAGGGCTTTGGAGCCTAGGTCAAACAGATGGCTCAAAGCTCCGGCTCCATTAGAATTTTTGACTCCAGCTCCGGCTCCAGCTCCGGAGCAGCTCCGGAACGGCTCCGCAAAAAAAAAAAATCAAACATTTTTTTTAATGTTTTATGACAGTTATTTAAGAACTATTAACATTTTGTTAATCAAAACCTTTATTCATCCTTAAAAATAAATCTAAAATATCAGGTTTGAGTGAAAAACGCAGATCGCTCGATACAAACTTAAAAGCAGAAAATAGCCTCTCTATACTTGCTTGTGAGATAGGTATACAAGTGACAACTCTGCACGCTTCTTGTTTTTTTTTTGGGAATTATTCAAAATATTCAAAAGCTGAATTCACTTTTGAACGTCCATTTTTTCCATTATCCTACAGTCTTTCTAAAATTTTTTACTAAAAGTTTTTTTATTGAAAAAATTTAAAAAAGAAGCGTGACCAAAAATAATTTTGGTCACACCTCTATCTTTCTTTTTTATCATGCTCCTTTTCAAACTCATCCTCTTTTCAGTTTTAAGTGAGTCTAATTCCTCAATCGGAATTAGATTTACTTAAAACTGAAACAAGTACTGTAGATAGCACAGCAGTATATCTTATTTCTTGACTTTCTATTATATTCTTGGCATCGCCTTTATAATATCTTTCTGCTATTGTTTTTAAGCATTGTTTTGCTCGTATTATTTGGTTTTCTTCCGATAGTATTCTATATCTAGCATCAACGTAAACTGCAGCTAGAAATATATCATTATCAAAAGATTTTTCTACTTGTTTCTGCATAGGTATTGAAATGTCTTCTGCAAATAGTCCTTGACTCTTCTCTAGGTCAGATTTCAATTTCAACAATTCCTTTACGAACTCTCCTGGAGTCAGGTCGATTAACTGTCACATCATGCGGCTTTTAAAAAAATTGCAAAGATGATTAGATTTATTCCATATTTCAGCGCGTAGAAAGAATATCTTATCAACTACAGCAAATCGCTCACACTGGACGCAAAAGTAATAACCTTTCAATTATCTGGAATGAGGAACCCCAGTGTGTCTCATTATCCAAAATTGAAACAACCTTTTATTGCTTCTTTGCTAAAAATATTGTATGTAAGCTTCTTAGCTTCTTTACAACATAATGGACTTTTGCCAAATATTGGGTAATGAATGTTTTTTTTTAAATCATACGAATAGCTAGCTGCAAAATGTGAATAACACAGCACATCAGTTTAATGTCAATAGAGAATTGTTGACACCATTCTGGGTGCATAAAGGCTATATTTTCTTCCTGAGCTCCTTCACTTTCTTCTTTGTTTGTATCCTTTTGTAAAAATTCCA